CGTCTGGGGTCCTAAAGACTTGAAGGTAATCAAGCGGCCATCAAGCTCAGAAGCAACAAAGCCCACATGGAAGAAGCACACCAGCCTATGCAATCACGAGGTGTCGAAGGGATCAGGTATAAGGCATCATCAGAAAGAGCTTTATATCAAGGAGTAATTGGATATCAAGAAAACATCCCAGCGCAGTCCAAATCAAGTCCATAGGTCTGAAATTAGGCCATGAATCCCTCTTCAGACTCATAGCTACATGCAATGACGGAGAATGCAGGAAGATCACAGGCTGGTAGGTGCAGAGTCTTGCGGATTCAGTGGCAGTGGAAGCATCACAAGACTCTGGCAGGTCTCAGCCCTGTGTCACAGGGAAGGTGAAGCAGTGAGAAGAGAGTGTGTAGCCCACCACCTTGGAGAAAGAGGAAGAAGCCAGCCTCCGAGAGCCATTTATCTCAGTTGTCCTCCACTCAAGCTGCGGCCTGATTGACAGGATAAACTCCACCCACATGTTCCTATGGGAGCCATGTTGGCACAAAAAAACTATCACACATATCTTGGGTCAGGCACACCTTATCCCTCAAAGTAGATCCTTGCTTTTCTGTGCAGTAAAAAGGCCTGTGCAACAAAGTTACATAAGGCAACTCGTCTTTTGCTGCTACGATGTAGGGTCAGAATTCTTTGAACACTCAAGTTATAGTCGTTTCAAACCCCTGCTTTGCAGAATAGCAAAAAGTCCAGTCTGTTTCTCAGACGCCTCCCTCCTGATTATTCCAGAGGACCCCTGATGTGACAAATAAATGAAGCCTGCTCACTGCTGTTTTACCATCATCTGCTAGAAATGAGTAAGAGGTGAATGCATAATACAAGGAGGTACTCCTACCCTGGGCCCTACAGGGTCCACAGAGAAGTGGTGGTGAGTAAGCCTGGTAGCCAAGTCCTGAAGCCCTGAGAGGCCTGCAGAGACAGAGTGGGAGTGATGCTTCACCTCCCACTGACCGAGTAGTCTCTCCTTTCCTGCTTCCAGTGGGAGCTCATTCCTCTCTCCCTCAGCACCATGCCCCATCCAAGAACCCCAGAGCAAAACTGCCTGGGCCCAGGGGTTTTCTCCATCGATTCAAGTTCATAGACACCATATTCTGAGACTTTCCTATAGTGCTACGGTGCCTGGGTGAAAGCCAAAGGCAATAGCACTATTGAGACTTTTCCCTCCCGTGTTTTTTACCAGTCTAGACTGCCCAAATTGTGTTGATTTGTTTTCGGTTTGGTTGTTTTTAAAGAAGTCAATTAGTCTCTACCATTGGTTGAAGCCCTCTCTACCATCCCATTAAGGTTGTTTGAATTACTCCAATTTTTCATTTAAGGGAAAAGAATGGTTCACATCCTTTTTGTCCTGAGAGGGTCCTTTGTGTTATAGAAATATTTGAACACAATATTGAACCCAAATTTTTGAGATTCAATGTACAATTTCATGCGGCAGAATTCAAGACCCATTGTAAACAGATCTGAATTGGTGAGGAGTGTCAACATAGCTCTGGCTAAGAGTGCCTGAGAACTAAGCGTTTACCAGGTCAAAAAACCAAAATGTCCAGTGACATAGAGTCCAACCTTGAGAAGGTCAGCTCAGTGGAAGGAATGGTGGTTGTATCAAACCTAGATGCAGAAACAGGACACACTGGTCTTGGTGCTGTGGCTAAGTAGCAGCTAATAGGAGAATATTAAGGGTTCTGAAGATTGATAGGCCTTTATCTGACAATCCACAAGGGACATTTTAATGATATAAAACTAGGGGAAAGGTCATGTTATATTTAAAACATGGTGTAGTAGGAGGTAGGAGCCCTGTCGAGCAGTGGCGATGAGTTGGGTTGCTCACCGCAAGGTCAGCAGTTCGAAGGCACCAATCTCTCCTGGGGGAGAGAGATGGGCTTTCTGCTTCCATAAAGAGTTGCAGTCTTGGAAATTCACAAAGGTAGTTCTACCCTGCCGTATAGGGTCGCTGTGAGTCAGCATTGACTCTGGCAGTGAGTTTGATTTTTTTGGTTTGCTGGTAGAAGGCAACCATTGGCCATGTGTTTTCTTGGGCAAAGCCGATTAAGTCTTACGTACTTTGTAACATAGATATGTTGTAGTTGGGTCCCATCGAGTCAGTTCTGACCTAGAGCAACCACCTATGCACAACAGAGCGAAACACTGCCTGGTCCTGCACCATCTTCACCATTGTTGCTGTGCCCGAGCCCACTGCTTGAGCCACGGTGTCGGTCCATCTCCTAAAGGGCCTTCCTCACTCTCGCTCACTGAGCCCTCCTTCATTGTCTGTTCTCAGTCAGGAAGCTCTCTGCAACCTGTTCACTTTGGGTGACCCTGCTGGTGTTTGAAATAGCAGTGCCGTGGCTTCCAGCGTCACAGCAGCACACAAGCCACCACAGTTCGACACGCTGGCAGGCACGTGGTAGAAGTTGGGTTTGGCAGTACGTATCTACTTTGGAGGCCTTGAACAGCCATGGTGTTAAGTCTAAGTCTAAAGGCAGACTTTCTCCCTGGACCTGTCTTGCCAGGGAAGCTTCTGGTGCACTCCAGGATGGTCCACCTGCAGGAAATCCAGATTTCTTCACAGCAGCGGAGAGCCTCCATGACCTGGACCCGTGTGCCTTTGGTCATCCTGTCCTGCCCAGCATAAAGCTGCTGTATCTATGTTCCATCGCCTGCCTTAGGTCGTTTGTAACCACCAGCCCCTTCTACCCCCACCCCCAGGGTCTTTCTTCCTGGGCCCACTTTTGTTAGGGCCCCAAGGGCCTGTTGGTTTCAGGCAGTCACCCAAACCCAGAGTCATACCTTTCTTCTAGAGGTTATTACCAGCACGTGGCTGTTCTGAGCGTCCTTATCAGTGGGTGGAGACACGTCTGCTTGCCCTAAACAACAAAAAAACCCAACCGCCACTCCCTTGCCACTTGGAATTAGTTAGTCAGTAAGTACACAGCGAGTTTGTCTGCGGGTGCTGGTGCTGGTGTTGGGCAGATGAGCAGATGAGTAGCACAGCCCCTCCTGCCTCTGGGGGTTCCCACTCTTGGAAGGGGAGGCGCGCTCACCCACAGACGGTAGCCAGATCTCCAGGTGAGTGCTTTTTAGTGGAGGGGTGAGCCGAGAAGGGTCACTGACTTCAGGTATCCTGGGAGATTCCCAGGCAGACTAGGTGCTGAGAAGTTGGCGCTGGCTGAGTAGAAAACAAGTGGCTCCACGGATAAGTACTGCGCTGCTAGCAGAAAGGTTTGTGGTTCAAAGCCACCACCTGCTCCCCCGGAGAAAACCATGATGGCCTGTTTTCATAAAGGTTACAACTTTGGGACGAGCTGGCAGCTGTATCCTGTCCTGTGGGCTCTCTCTGGGAGTCAGGGTTGAGTTCAGGGCAGTGGGATTGGTTCGGGTTCTGCATGAAGGAGAAACAGCTATTCGAGATGCACTGCTTGGAGAGGAAGGCAACTTCTGAGATCCAATTTCATTGAATTCTCACGAATCGTCACGTAAACCATTGAAAAGGTTTCCTCTGTACTCTTAGTCTTTTAGAACTTGTATGGACTCTCATATTCAAAAAGTGTTTTATATCAACATTGCAACAAGGTGTTACTTGATTGAAAGCCCCAGCCTCTGTTGTATTGCCACGGGGAGGGGGGATGACCTAATGATGGTTAAAAACTCAACAGTTTGTTGGTTGACATACATTCTCATTTGAGGAACGATTGGGTGATTATAATGCATGACAGCCCTTTCCTGGTGGTCTAGTTAAATCTTAATATTTACCTTTGTTTTGCTTTCTGCATCCAACCCCCACATCGGAAAAACTCAACCCGAAAAATGGCAAAAACAGAGAAAGCATTAAATATGTATGTTCAAGTTTTTTAATTCATTTCAGATGACCTCTGCCTCATTCTTTCTTGTCAAAAACCATAATGAAAACTAGCTTAAAATTTCTTTGTTACTTTTGGACATCATTTTATGTGACAAGTGGTTGTAAGTTGAACATCCTATCACTGTTTTTGAAAATGGAGTACATTTTGTGTGACAAGTTACGCCATGCCATCTTTCAAATCCTGCCGATGTGCTAGATGTGAAGATTTTCCGGTTTTATTGTAACAGAAGCAAGTGGTTGTCAATAGATGTTCAGATTCTGGACTCCTAGCTCTGAGATGCTGTGAGTGGATAACCGAGTGAAACTGTTCTTACCAAATAAAGCCTGTCCCTTCCTAAGGTTACGAGAAGACTGATGATGTGTCGGAGAAGACCTCGCTAGCTGACCAGGATGAAGTGAGGACTATATTCATCAACCAGCCCCAGCTGACAAGATTCTGCAATAATCATGTCAGGTAGGACTCTAAAGAGACTATGGGACCAGGCGTCACAACAAACAATGCAATTGGACAATCTCCCCCGTGTAGGGGAAATGGAAATGCTTGCAAAGAGCTTTCAGTTAAACTCGTGACTGCTTTGAGAGCCCATGGGTACCAGTGTACGTAGGCTGTTTCTCTCCTGCACATGAGATGCAGTAAGACTAAGAAAGCGAGGAAGACTGAAAGAATCAGCAGCCCTCCTCCACTAATTCCAATGCAGTGTCTTCACAATGGGCAACGGCCGTCTTAACCCTGTTACGAGGATGATGTTAATAGGATTTCACATTTGAGGGGAGCTCTTTACAATTCCATGGAGAACTCCTTGGGGGTAAATAGTCCTCAGATGAGTGGCTTTTAATAATTGGGGAAGGGAGCCCTGGTGACCTAGTGGCTACTAGTTGGGCCTCACCACGAGGTCAGCAGCTGGTAACCACCAGTCTCTCCTTGGGAGAAAGGTGGCCTTTCTACTCCCAGACAGAGTTGTTTTGGAAACTCACAGGAGGGCAGTTCAACCTTGCCCTTTTGGGTCGCTGTGAGTTGGCATCAGCCTGATCGCAGTGAGTTTAATTTGGAGTTTTGATAGTTGCGAGATGTGCTGTCATGCTAGAGATGGGAGGTGCGTGGGAATCCGCTCAGTGCTTCGTTGTCATTCCGGAAGCAGTGTAAAAGGATCTAGGTCCGCAATAGGCACTCTAGCACCATGCGACCCTTAGGACCAAGCGAACACCCCAGCATCAGCACAGTTTTCCCCCGGTGGCGGAGTTCCCAGATTTGAGAAATGTGAAATCAATATGTACAGCGTCACCCTCTATAGGACCACTTATTGGTGTGAGGAATAGCACACGTGTCTCCTTGAATGTTCTCTCTGATCAACAAGAGTAAGGTCTGGATGTTTCTAAAACGTAAACAGTGATCATCTTTCCCTGGCCGTTGCCGTGTCTGGGGTGTTTGGTGTAGAATCCTAGCCAAGTCGTCAAGAGTTCATAAGGAAAATTCAGGCAGAACCCCAGGGAAGGCACGTTTACCTTGTTTATAGTCTTCGGGGCTCACAAGGAGCCCTGGTGGCAGAGTGGGTTCACGGTGGGCTGCCAAAGGCAAGGTCAGCAGTTGCAGACTACAGCTCCTCTGTAGGAGAAAGACGAGACGGTCTGTGTCCACAAAGATCCACACGGCCACTTCTACTGGGTCCTCCAAGCTCACTCTGAGTCAGCATTGGATCGATGGCAGTGAGATTTTTGGTTTGGGACCTGCTCACCTGCTGGATTTTATTATTGTTTTTCGCAATCTTTTTCTATTAACATTTTATATGCTCTCTTAGCTAAAACTGTTTTCTTTGTAACCTTAAGCAGTATAGTCCAAAGAGGGCTAGAGATATTCCACAGAAAATAAAATTTGTAAGAGGAGTCCATCTTTACTATTTAATCAACTCTTTCACTATTTGTCATTTAGGCTAATGACCCTGGAGGATGATTTATCAATTTTAAAGAGAGGGTGAAACTACGCCTCCAATTTTTGACATAGTGATAATAGAACTTTGTAAATGTGGGTGTACTCAGGGTGGTGCTATTACATTTTATGCTAATTTTTGTTTAATCTTTTCCAGCACTGCAAAATACAACATTATCACATTCCTGCCACGGTTTCTCTACTCTCAGTTCAGAAGAGCCGCTAATTCATTTTTTCTCTTTATCGCGCTGCTTCAGGTAAAGTCACCTCATAGAAGCCTTAGTTCAACGACAGATGTTCAGGTCTTAGTGAAGCCCATGTGTGGCCAGGCTCTGCCAATGAGGATCCAGGACAGGGACAGAACCTGGTGGTGGTGGCTGTTTCCAGCTCCTGCCCCAAGCAGTGTCTGAATCCCACTACCATCCTGTGGCCTGCTTTAAATGGCCTATGCATGTGAGACCATTCCATTTTGGTGGTGAATAGGGATGAGACTTTTTCTTAAAATGTAATTTCTTCATTTTAGTAGTGGTGAAAGTATTCTAGACTTTGGAATGTGTCACTGATCTAAAGCATGTGCTTTCCTTCAGTTTTGTGTCCATTGCCACCAGGAACAATGCTGTACTTTATTAAAAAGTCCATCCCTGGACGTGGCAGCTCACTCTGGGCTGCTAACTGAAGGGGTGACCATTCTAATCCTCTCATTAGCACTGGGGGGGAAAGGCCTGGTCATCTGCTTGTATCCACTGTAAAAAGAATTAGAACGTTCAGCAAAGTATCAAGGGGAAAAAAAGGGTTTTATTCCACACCCCTCTGATAGAGCTACAATCAAACTGTAAGTATGTATTCCTTCTGATTTTTCTTTTCATTCTCCTATCCATGGACCATTGATTGATATTACCAAAATGGGATCATGTAATGTACTTTATAGTCTGTGTTATTTGTGTAGTAGCATTTGGATATTTTCCCATGTTATTTGCTGTTTTCTTAAAATGTCATTTTTAATGACTGTAGCATTTTACTATATGGATATACTATCATTGATTGATTCAGTCCCCTATAGGTATATATTGGTATGAACCCTATACACTACTGCTTACTATGAAGCTAATTAGCTCGTACTTCCAGCTCTTTATTCAATAATACCAAATTGCCTCACACTACCTCATTTGGCAAAAATTGATGAGGAATATTTTGAGACATTAAGACTTTATTGTTTATAAATCTGTTATAAACTTTGTAGTTTTCACCCGATTTATCTGGTTTTTTTTTTTTCTTTTTCTTCCTTCTTCCTTCAAATAGCAAATACCTGATGTGTCACCTACAGGCCGTTATACGACGCTGGTTCCTCTTTTATTTATTTTAGTGGTGGCAGCTATCAAAGAGATAATAGAAGATATTGTGAGTATTTATTTTTTGTCAAACAAATGTAACTGTTTTACATATGTTTTAAACTATTAGTTTCTTAAACCATTTAATTCTTGGTGTGCCCTAACCCCACTGCCTTCTTTTCACTGAACTCTAAGTAAACCCCAAGGCCTGTGGGGTTGCATGACATTTTCAGCTCTAGCGCCTAGCTTAGAGGGTTTCAGTAAATCTATACAGGAGCAGAGAGCCTCATCTGTTTCCCACGGAGTCGCTAGTGGGTTTGAACTGTCTACCCTCTAGTTAGCAGTCCACTGTACCTGGCTGTGCCACTAGGACTCTTTCACCAGTCTGTTTAAAAACGCTCATTCAACATACAAATATGTAAAATATTCCCCCTTTCCTGGAGTTAAGTCCTCTTGATGTCTACAAATTAATATTTTGCAGAGGGCCTGTTATGATGTTCTCTTACATTTGTAGTTTAGTAATGAAATAAGTTAATTAGAATATACTAATTGCTTCGAAGAGGAAGCGACCTTTGAACATTACTTCCAATTAAGTGGCATGACGTAAACTTCAAGTTATAAATATAAAGGCTCTTTAAAATACTTTTCCATTCTAGAAAATTCAAATGCCATCCTTTTTTACCGTGTTGTGTTCTTCTCATCTTACCGTGGCCGCTCTGTTTCCTTTCCGCTTTATGGCTTCTTCAACGAGAGTAACAGCATGCTAGCTATTTTTGCCTTTCTGTGGTAGAGGGGAGGAAAAGGAGAAGTTTCAGCTAACCTTTGTCGAGGAAGGCAGCACTTTTCTTTCTGTCTTCTTTAAATACTTCTTTACTTGTTGCCAACGGTCTGCCTCGCCTTACAAATGTCAGCTGGCCAGCTGATGAGAGCCTGAGACATTGTCAAGGAAGCTCCAATTTAAAGTTTCCCAAACATTAGTATTATTCCTGCAGAGAATTAAACTGTGATCTCCTTAAGGAGACCTAACCCATAACTTCAAATAAAGGAGTGTGCTGACCCTGTAGATCGTCTGCCCCAAAGCTTCGAAGTGTCTGAATACACACGGCAGATGTGTGTGTAGAACAACATAGTCCTCTTATTGGAAGTGATATTTGATGGCTATCATGAGCTGAGAATTTTGGAACTCCTGTCACCATGTTGCCCACATGGGCTCACCATCCTTCCTATTGTGGTTGGCTTTGACGATCCACGTTGTTGGTAGGTGCCATGGAGATGGTTCTGATCCGTAGTGATCTGGGCACAACAGAAGGAAACACTGCCTGGTCCTGTGCCCTCCTCGTGTTCCTCTGCCTGAGCCCATTGTCGCAGCCCCTGCGTCCATCTCTCCTGGAGGCTCTTCCTCTTTTTTGCTGCCCCTCCACTTTTCCAAACATAATGTTTTTCTCCAGGGACTGGTCTCTCCTGACAACATGGCCAAAGTATATAGGGTGAAGTCTCGCCTCTTGCCTCTAAGGAGCGCTGTGGACATAGGGATTGGTTTTTACTGTGGCTCTGCCTCTGCTATTTGGCCTCTTTCTGCTTTCTCTGTTTAACCTCATGCTCATTGGGCACCAGATATTTACCACATGTAGTACTGGTTAGTGTTTTCTTTGGTTATTTTATTGTGGTAAAATATATGTAACCAAACTGGCCATCTTAGCAACTCACAGGTATGCAATTGTAGTAGGGTACTGCCAACTGGGTGGCCCTACATACAGCAGACAAAACAAAACACTGCCCACTCCGGTGCCGTCCTCACAACTGTTAAGTGCGAGCCTGTTGGTGCAGCTACTGGGCTGCTGTGTTGAGCATCTTCCACTTTTTCACTGACCCTCAACTTTATCGAGCCTGATGTTCTTTCTCAGGGACTGGTCTCTTCGGATAACATGTCCAAAGTACTTGAGACCAAGTCTCGCCATCCTCCCTACTGAGGAGCGTCCTAGCTGTGCTTCATTCAAGACAGACTGGTTTGTTCTGAGGGTCCGTGGCATGTTCACCATTCTCTGCCAACACCGTGATTCAGATGCAGCCGTTTGAATTGTAGCCTTCTTGTCCAACTTTCCCTTGCATATGTGCTGCTTCAAAACAGCATGGCTTGGATCAAAGTGACATCTTACTGCTCGACACTGACAAGTGGGACAGCTAACTGTGGGGTCAGTAGTTGGAAACCCCCAGCACTGCCGCAAGAGAAAGATAAGGCTTTCTGGCCCCTTAAGGAATTGCTGCCCCCGAAACCTAACGAGTGATGCTGCTCTATCAATCAAGCTCTCTGTGAGTCTGGTTTTACCCGATGGCAGGGGGGTTATTTTGTTTGGGATCAGGTGCGCCTTTGTCCTTAAAGTGAAACCTTGGCTGTTTAACACGTTAAAACCAGATGCCTTGATGCCTTGACTCTTGCTTCCATGACCCTTGGATATGGATCCAAGTAAAATGAAATGCATGGCAACTTCAGTCTTTTTCCAGGAATCAAATTGTGAGGATTTATTTTTTTCCCACAGTTGTGCGGTTTACGAAAGAAGCTGCAGGTTACAATTCAGGTCCGTGAATGAAGTAGCAAATAGTTCTTTGATCAGAACAAGCTCTCTGCAGCAGGCACTCCCGGCCTTATGACCATTTAGCCTGTACCCTGCTTAGGCAACTTTTATAGAGTTCTTTTAACTGTGATGATCTAAACCCAAAGACAACCCACTCTGCCAGTAAGTCATGTCCTCAGGGCACAGAGCTCTAGCTCTGTGGATTGGCAAATCGTTCCCTTGATTCAGTGCCTTATGGCACCCGGCTCTACCAGCATCAGCTTTCTCCATTTGTGGCCTAGAAAGTGCACAGGTCTGGCCCTCCTAGGCCCCTGGTTCTGCCTTTCTGCTGCTGCTTCTCTGCCACTCTTTCTTGTTGTCGCTCACTCTCTCTCGTCTCACGGGTCTTTCTCTTGTACTGAGAAATTTTGACACACGGATCACCATTCCTCGCTCTTCTTTGTGGGTGGTTGTGAGGTCCTACATTTGCTCTCAGGATGGCTCATTTAAATCCCAGTGGGATGACAAAACTGACCAAGATCCACATCAGTGTTCCATATACCTATTTTCACAGTCCCAACAGTTTGGGATGTACATGGGAGAGGAGGAGGCGGAGGAAAGGGAGTGGGGATACACCAAACTCTGGACAGGGGAATGACAAGTGGTCTAAAATTGATGGTGAGGAGGGTGTAGAATTCTTGGTGGGGTTTGAGCAAGTATAATGTAGCTGAGAGGAACTACCAAGAGCCCAATGGAAGTCAAACATGATAGTGGCACAGGAGGAAAGTAAAAGGAGAGGGAGGAAAGAAGTAGGAGGCAAAAGACATTTATAGAGATATAAATATAGGTATGCATATATATAAATATAATAATATATAATGATAAGGATATAGGTCTATGTACATATATTTATAGATTAAATATTAAGGTACCAGGTGGACATTAGGCATCTACTCAAGTCTTCCCTCAACACAAGATCTCTTTGTTCTAATAACCTGGCATTCTGTGGTGCTTACCTTCCTGACATGATTGCCAAGGAAAAAATGGATGCATAAGTTAATGTGGTGAAGAAAGCTGAAGGTGCCTGGCTATTAGAAGATATAGCATATAGGGCAGCAATTGTCAACCTGTGGGTCATGACCCTTTGGGGGTCAAATGACCCTTTCACAGACATCACCCGATTCATAACAGTAGCAAAATTACAGTTATGAAGTAGTAACAAAAATAATTTTATGGTTGGGGGGGTCACCACAACATGAAGAACTGTATTAAAGGGTCGCAGCATTAGGAAGGTTGAGAACCACTGATCAAGGGTCTTAAAGGCTTGAAGTTAAATAAGCAGCCATCTAGGAGGGAAGCAAAAAGCCACATGGAAGAAGCACACCAGCCTGTGTGATCACCAGGCATTGACAGGATCAGATATCAGGCATCAGAAGACCCAAAACAGTCATATCGATGTGAACAAGGGGGGGTCAGAAACCCAAAGCTTTGGAAACCCAAAGCCCATCTGTAGATAATTATATAGTCTATAATTATTTATCCCCTCACAGAAGGGTCACAAGGAAGGAAGGAGTCAGCCATGGTGCAGTATAGCACCGATGGAACACAGTATTTCTCTAATTCTTTAATGCGCTCTCCTCCATCCCTCTACTATCATGACCCAGTTCTACCTTAAAAATCCAGCTAGACTGGAGGATGTACAATGGTACAGATAAGAGCTCTCGACACACAGAATCCAGGACAGATAAAGGCCTCAGAGCAGTAATGGGAGTAGTGATAACCATTAGGGGGAAGGTGGGGGAAGAAAGGAGGGAGTGATCACAATGATCAACATATAACACCCCACCCCTAGGGGGACAAACAACAGAATCATGGGTGAAGGGAGACAGCAGACAGTGTAAGATATGAAAATAACAATTATTTCTAATTCATCAGTGGTTCATGAGGGTGGCAGGGTGGGAGAGGGAGGGGAAAAGAGTAGCTGACACCAAGGGCTCAAATAGAAAGAAAATGCTTTGAAAATGATGATGGCAACATATGCACAAATGTGATTGATACAATTGATGCATGGATTATTATAAGAGCTGTAAGAACCCCTAATTAAATGACTTATTTTTAAAAACTGAGGTTCTTCAGAAGGCAGAAGAAGCAGGATTTTTAAAATTTTCTTACACTGAGTTGTAATCCACACTGCAGGTGGTCGTCTTTGAACTTCATCAGTAAGTGCTGCAAGTCCTCCGCTGCATGTTACCTGTTGTTAATAAGCCTTCCTTTAAGCCTGAATACCTGCTTCTTCTTCATGTAGTCCAGCTTCTCAGATTATTTGCTCAGCATTCAGATTGAATAAATATAGCAAGAGGATACAACTCTGATGCACACCTTTCCTGATTTTAAATGACACGCTATCCCCATGCTCTACTCCAGTGACTGCCCCTTGGGTTATAGGTACAGGTTCTGAATGAGCACTATTTAGAGTTCTGGAATTCCCATTCTTTGCAGTGTTACCCATAGTTTGTTC